TGTAGATGTGCAGTAAGGTTTCGGAATTTTCATTTTGCCCTTGGGGGTCAATTGGGGCTCGAAATATGACGTTTTTTTTTTTGCAAAAAGCCCCGTCTTCCCTGAACTCCTCTTACATTTTACTCAGTAGCCTAATCATCTTTTAAGAGATGGTTGGTGGTGTCATGTAGATGTGCAGTAAGGTTTTGGAATTTTCAAATCGGGGTAGAAATTTGTTTTTTTTTTAATGTTTAATCACCCTGCCTTCAAGAACTTCCATAATATTTTATGCATTATCTTTAAACCATGATCATTTGGAAAATGATTGGTTTGTTTTGTGTATGTGTAAAATGGTTTCAAAATTTGCATTTTCATGTGGATGGCAAAAATAGGCAGAAAAAATCGCCCCTCCCTAATCCAGGGGGTCATGATTTGTACAACATCTTGAGAATGTTTCCATATTAATCATGGTCTTTTGGCATTTTGAAGATTTGTTTCCTTTTATTCCTAAATAAAACTTTGATCCCTAATTATGGCCTGACCCTAGTCTTTGAGGTCATGATTTGAAAAACTAGAAATATGTCTATAGGACATGAATGTCCCGCCGGATGTATATTACTAATGCTACATGAAAATTTGTTTTAGTGTAAAAAGTTTAATGAAAATATCTTGAACAGTTTCTTTAGAAATGAAAGTAAAATCTAAATAAATTGGATATAGATAATAAATTTTCACCAAACTATGTATAAGTGCATGCTAAACATTTTCACACAAAGCAAAATACAAATTAAAGAGGAGGGAGGTCAAGGTCACAGTAATGTGCAAGATGAAGTTTTTGATGCAGTTGAATAGCTCTCACTTATACATATCAGCATATTATGTTTGACAAAAATATCTTGAATGATTTAATGAAACTGAGCTTAACACTTTTTTAAGAAAAGAGAGGTCAAAGGAAAGGTTGGGATCAAAATGTTGTTGGAGTTGAAAAGCTTAACACCAGTATGAATTTTCTATTAGCATATGAAGTTTGATAAAAAGATAATTAATGGCTTATTTCAATCTTATATAAACACACATTTTAAAAAGTGGGGTCAAGGTCAAAGGAAAATTCAAGGTCAAATTAAGCTGATGCATTAATAGCTCTCAGCAGTATGTATAAGCATATGAAGTTTGATAAATATACCTTGAATTGTTTATTCAAAACTGATCTAGACATGAATTTGAGAAAAGTGAGGCCAAGGTCACGGTCAAGGTAAAAAAGAGTGAAGCATTGTAAAGCTTACATCAGTATGTATCGGCATGTGAAGTTTCATCACACAACTTGAATGGTTTCTTTAAAATAAAGCCCAACACTAATTTAAAGAAAAGTTAAGTGTTGGTCAAAGAAAAAGTCAAGGTCAAAAGATATTGCTGCAGTTGGATAGTTTAATCAGTATGCATCAATATGAACTTTGATAAAAATATCTAGAAAGTTTCTTTGAGCCCGATGGAAAGACAGATGGAACGGTAGAAGACGGACATGACAAAAACTATACATGTATTCTTAATAATGGCATGGCATAAAAAAAATTGAATCTACATTATATGAGGATGTTTCCATATCAAGATTATACAAGCAAATTCAAAGAATTGTGGTCCTCTGCTTTCTGTGTTTTAGTGATTGGGATGTCATAATTTATGGCAGATTGTGTCAAATATGCACTCCTATCATATTTTTGACAATTAGGTCAAAGGGGAAAAATCATAGCATGCTCGGAAACATTTTTGTTGCAGGTAATGATCATGTCAAATATGAAAGTCCTATCTCTTTTCAATCAAAAGTTATATAATTATATAATATAAATTTTTGAAAAGTAGGTTAAACTTCTGGGTCAAGGTCACAGAATCAAAAGTCATGATATATTTAGAAGTCTTTTCACATGTAATATACATGTATAATTTAAATGCCCTATCTTTTCTCTTTCAAAATGATCAATTTAAAATAATGTTATTTTTGGGAAAGTAGGTAAAATTTTAAGGTCAAGGTCTCACTTGCTTTAAAAAATCATAGTATATTTAGAAAGTTTTATGGTAATGTACATGTGAAATATGAAAGCCCTATCTCTTAATATTCAAAAGTTATGACCAAGGTTAACTTTATTGTGACAGATGCACATACTGTCAATAAGATGGACAGACTGACAGACAAATAAGATTTAATGTCCCCCACTTTCCCCAAAACGGGGGACAATAATGCCCTTGCTGTTTTTGAGAAGAAGATTTATGATGGAAAAAATCCCCTGCATATTTCTTAACGCAAATTGATATTGTGTTTTTATGTCATTTGTTTGTTTGTTGTTAAACATCCCTCTCAGGAATTTTTCACTCATATGGAGACACCACCACTTGAAAAATAATGAGGACAAGTCAGATTTGAGGTCAACATTCATTTTAGGAGTTTTCAACCATTAAGATGTAAAGAGATATTAACTCGATCCTTCCCCTCACCCCTTCCAAGACCCCTGTTTGTTCATGTATGCAAACTACTATTTGTTTTTACATTTAACAAAAATTTTAATATATAGAAATAAATTAATGTTCCATCTTTTTGCATAATTTTCATTCCTAATTCTATGAAGATAGGTTGACACAAATTCATGAGTAAAATGTCATCATTTGTCATTACAGGGACAGGGAGTGGAATGGGAGATCCCTCCCCCGGAATTTGCAGGACTATAATATATCCTGAAGCAAATAAAAATGACTTTGGATGCCCTCCACCCTAGAAAACAGACCCCACCATAACTTCTTTTTTTTTTGCTTCTCAGGAAATTCTGGTCTGAAAATCCCCCCTCCCTCCCTCCCTCCCAGAAAAAAATTCTGGATCTTGTAACTGAATGCAACGTCGATAACGGGGGATAACTCTTTAGAATGTGAAATTCGTCTATTGTAGCATCGGATGACCTTTGATCCTTTAAACTTTAACCTAACCATTTGCATTTCAGACTATTTTACCCAAATCTATACCAAAACTTTTCCTTACCGACTGTCATAGGTCGTGTCATGAAATATAATCCAATTTAAACACAAAATGAAATAATTCCTACTGAAATACATGCAATGATGTGTACACCACATGCACGTGCAGTGCAATCAAAGAATGATAATGGTAAAACTAGTACTTAAGTTGAGTACGTGACGCAAGGCCACTGTGATGCAGGTGTTCAGATACATGTATAGTACAAGAACAAATTTAAAATTATCATTTACAAAAGATGTTTTACCTAAACTTTGCCATTTAGGCCTATTTCCAAAAATAGGCAAATAGGGTGTGTTTGTGTGTGTGTGTTAATGTATATGGGTGGGGGTGGGGGTGTGACTAAATTGATTGGGTATATGGCAGCTTTCAAGGAATTTCTGCCTAATCAAATATAAAAAAAGTTTGCACATTTTTCATCAAGAACGCTTTACACTAAATTGAAAATATTAATTGTTGTTGACCCATATGAGAAAACAGATTTAATTACAAAGTTCCAATTTTGGACCAAAAAATTTATATCCCCCCTTTATCAAACCTAATTTACATCATTAATTAAATTCTGTTGTTTAATTTCAGACTGGTAATGAATTAAGAATATGAAATACCTATAAGACCGAGGCTCATGGGTCACATGGTCACCTGAGCATATTATGCTCAATTTGATGAATACATTTATTATCTAAATTATTATTATCTAAATCTTGAATTATAAAGAATTTTTCCTTGGTAAAGCCCAATTTGAAGGAATGTGCATTTAGAGGCAAACACCTTAGTGCGGGTATTACTGTCTCATGACAGCATCTAGTTAAATTCTGTTGTTTATTTTAAGACTGGTAATGAATTAAGAATATGAAATACCTATAAGATCGAGGCCCATGGGTCACCTGAGCATATTATGCTCAATTTGATGAATTCATGTATTATGTAAATTATTGAATTAAATTGACTTTCCTTGGTAAAACCCAATTTGAAGGAGTGTGCATTTAGGGGCAAACACCTTAGTGAGGGTATTACTGTCTCATGATAGCATCTAGTTTTAATTATTTGTGATGTATGCAGGTATGTATACAATGTATACAGGTATTGTAATTACATTAACCCATTTAAATAGACAATAGATTCAATAGAGATGTGAATATTCTGCTTGATAATATACTATTAGTTCTTATTAAGGCGATTGACCCCATTTTTTCATTTTTATAAAAAGATATTTTTAATTTATTTACTGCTGTGACTTTCCTTTAGAAAAGACAAAAAGATGAAGAGAAAGAGAGAAAGGAACTACAGAAAACAGAGATGCATAGGAAAGATAGAACACTAGAAGAGGAAAAAGTCAACTTAAGACATGTGAAAGATGTCATGAAAACAGTTTGGTTTGATTATGCTTCAGAACTGAGAAACAAAGATTTTTCAACTTATGAAGACATTGTACTTATAAAGCAGGACATCATCAGTAGAACAGCTAAATTAACAAGTCATCTTACTCAAATAACGGTAAAACAAATATCTTTTATTATACTTAAGTAGATATTGTCAGTAGTAGAAAATTTCATTATAGTGAATATCGAAGACGCCATTAGATGCATCCTATTCTCTTTAACAGAACTCCTTGTTACAAAGAGAAAACGGAAATGAGGATTCTAACATTGAGGCCTACAAAGTAGAACTAGCCGATGGATTAACTGAATATACGAGGGACGATAGAAAAACAGCTCAAGTAGCAATAGGACATGGTATACAAGCACGAAGTGACACTGGTATACCTTGCATACCAAAGAGTCACATTCAGATGGAGAGGCAGCAGAACCATGAACCTCAGAGTAACCCTGTCTATTCTTCTAGAGGATGGACACAAGATAGTACAGAAAAGAAAAATGTATTTCAAAGCAATTCGAGTAACAGAGATCAGGGTCACGCAGGAAATGCTGAAAATAAGAAATATATAGGAACCAATAAACATAAAAGTAAAAATTTTGTCTCTAGAGAAAAAGGAGAAACCGCGATGAAACCACAACCAGATTATTTTGACCAGGACGCCGAGAGTACATTCAAGAACTTGAGTGAAGAATACGCAAAGGCCCAATGTAGTATAAAAGAATTAGACATGAGAAATAAAAAGTTAACAGAAGAGCTGAGGAAAGAAAAATCACATGTAGACAAATTGAAAGAAGAATTAAAACGGAGGGAAGGTACCAAGAAAGACACAGGAAAAAATGAGGCACTCACAAGGTATTGCTGTTTTTGTTTACCTATTAAGTAGGATCACAAATACTTTATTGATAAAGATTATCAATGTACATGTTTCTACATTAAGAGGAAGAATTATTAATGCCAACATCTATTGTCAATTTAGATTCGAATAATAGAACTGTTTTATATAAAATAAATCTGTACATAGGCATACAATCTACTCAAATCATGCACAAAAAGCTACCAACCGAGATTATGATAGATTGTTCTCCGGAATTTTATTTTACCAGTTAACTCCATGTTATAACTCTTTTCAGGATTGCAGAGTTTCTTTGAATGAGTTAAATCTGTCGGAAAGAGTGACTATTTTGTTTTTAATTTAAATGTTTTAGATTCAATGAAATAGCGGGTAGACGGCTATTGGACAACGATGCATCCATTGCAGACCTCAGCACAGAGATTCGACCATCCAAAATCGGCGAGAACTTCAAGATACTGTATGATAACGAATGGACTGAAGCATTCGAAGAGCTAACAGAACAAGGAAAGACAGAAGAGGAGTGCATCAAAACCCTTCTACATATAGTACAGGTAAACTGATTTATTTTGGTGCTGTTACGTTATTCGTACACCTGTTTTAATATCTTAAGGCGATAATACATAAGTTTAATGAGAATTTGATTGCATTTTTCAAGGATACATTTACTTTTGCAATGGAAAAAGCCAAAAGTTTTGAATCCAAATTGATATCGATCGTCACATCTTTTCCAGCGAATGCAAATGTAAGTTTCCTTCATGACGTTTACCTTATAGAATTTATAGCAAAATGTTGACATAAATCAAAATCGTTGAATGTTTGGTTGAATTATTGTCCTTCACTGCTTATGTAGGTTTTTAAGATTAAATTTGTGGTTTATAACATAATTGATGGTTTAATAATTTGTTTAGTTCTTATCCTTCTTCCGGAACATCGATGAAATATTCTTTAGGTAACCATAATGTCAAATCGTTTTATAAAAAAATTGGAACAGTTGTGCATTTGAAAGAACACCTAAGATAAGACAACGAATTTTCTAAATACTAGTAGATTAAGCGCTTTTTAAAAAAAGAAGTATGAAATCATAGTAAAAGTGTGTCATCTGGTGGAAGTACAAAGCATATTCTCATTCTTCAATGTTATTCTCTGTTTTCACTGTCCTTATGATTCAGGACTATTTGAATTATCAAAAAGCATGTAGTGCTGCACTGGGACATACTCTCAGAATTATTATATCATAATATTCATTTCGTAAGTTCTATAGTACAATGACCATGTCAGCAAATACAATTTATCATTGAGTCGAATGTTGACTGACGTTTTCATACTAATTGTTAGACCATTACTTAATTTTGAATTGTCGACGACGGGGTTTTCCATTATTTCCTTATCATGACAAGGAGCACACGGTGGGTGTGACCGGTCGGCATGGGATGCTCACTCCTCCATGGCACCTGATCCCACCTCTGATGTTTTGGAGGTCCATGATTGTTCTGTTTCAAATTATTATGTAAAGAACTTTTAAGCTTGAATACTGTTTGTCATCTCCATATATTTTATTCAACACAGAGCTCCAATAAAAACACTACCAAAGACGAGGAGGAATTAATCAAGCAACTCAAAAGAGTTTCCGCTGCCAGAACTTGTACTGCTGTACAAGATGTAAGTTTCTCCTAAAATACATGTTCTATTGTTCTTCTTTCAAAAATGTATTCATTATCATAAATAATTAAGAATTTCATATAACATCAAAATTAAATGACACATAGCACATTAAAATTTTCCTTGTGCAATTTATTTAGTGTTTTGAATTTGATAACAAAATTTAAGAATGAACAATCATCTTTAAAAAATTTCATCGTAATTTTAGGTGTATGTTAGGAAATTTAAAATAAAGGGAAAAATAGGCGAGAGATTAAAGCTGTATGCTAGGAAATGCATGGAACTGTGTTGGTATATGGCCGTTCAATCTCCGCCTATGGTTATTATTAGTGCTGTGCAATGTAAAGGACCTTTTGATGAGAAATATTACTCACGATACACAGCCACCGGAGATTTGATTGATTATGTGGTTTGGCCATGTACGCTTCTGCATGAAAATGGTCCTGTTTTGGCAAAAGGGGTCGCTCAAGCAACTAAAGACAACAGAGAAGCCTTTAAAAGAAAACAGGCACCTGCGGCACCTAAACAAAATAGTGATGAACGATGGTCCTCTACAAAACAAGGTGCTGTTGGTCAAGAAGGAATAAGTAATCAAAATACAAGATACCAAAAGAAAGACGAAAAAAAATAAAAAGAAGCAAAATTTTCATAATAAAACTGAAGGTGGCCGATTTGTGCAAAGTGATGGTTCAACTAAAACTCAGATGAGAAGTAAAAGCGTCTACGTGAAACCAGGAACTAAGGATGAATCATCCGTTGACGGACTAGCACGAAGTCATTCCGTAAAAACCGAAACCTCCCCAGATAACAAAGGGAAACATGTGACCACAATTAAATTATGAAACTGGAGATGGTGTATAATACTTTAAAGTAACAAAATGTAGATTTGTGTATTTACTTAATCTTTCAAAAAAGTACTATACAAATTGTAATATTATTTCAGTAGAATTTATATATATATATATATATATATATATATATATATATATATATATATATATATATATATATATATATATATGGCAATATATATTTTTATATATTTCCTTTTTACAAAATAAAAGAGGAAAATGAACAATTACGGAAAGCCAAAGAACAATATTTTATAAATCTGTTTAAACCAAAATTGAACTGTTAAAAGAAATTTATATCAAATTATCTTATTATGTACATTTTATGTAAAATGTCTCCATTATTGTACATTTATAATAGGCGCTAAACTTTGATCAGATGAACTGTAAAACTCTATCTGTGCGCCTCTTTTAACTGTGATTATTTTTACGTCACAATCATTATGTTTAACGTTGCCGACATAACGTCATGAGAATGACGTCATAATGTAACTTGTTTACAATTTCAAATCTACGATGACTCCGCATGGGGCGAAAGCGCTTTAGATAAAAGTTTGAGTTTATCATTTGTATTTGGATTATATATATATAAAATACATGGTTACTGTCTTGAAATATAAGCGATATTTGGGCGAGGGTAAGAAAACGTGATAGAGGGCGAGGCTTGCCGAGCCCTCTTACGTTTTCGACCCGAGCCCAAATATCGCTTATATTTCAAGACAGTTATTATGTATTTTGTTTATCCTGCAACAAAATTTTACATTTGAACGTCCAAAACAAGCTATTTCCGACAGATTTAGGCACATCTCTGCAGTTGAAACTATGACGCCATGGTGTAAACATTGCAATATATGTGACGTCACAATGCTTTTAGAACGTCCGAATACATGCACGAGGCTTTATTAGGGCAGTGACCGGATAAAGCTTTGGTTTATTAGGTTACCTTTATTAGGTCAATGCAAGGGGTAGTTGCAGGATAAATAAATATATATATATATATATATATATATATATATATGTATATATATATATATATATATATATATATATATATATATATATATATATAACTGCCAAAAGCATCTTTTGAATGATTTCAATTTTTATCAATTTTCAAGACTTGTTATATTTCCTCACAGAAATTAATTGCACTTAGTTTAGTTAAAGATTCTATATCGTTATCATCATTTAGAAAATGCTAAATAATACTTCATTCGCCCTCATTATACCCCTCCCACGTTTAAAAAGCGGGAGGATATATAGTAATCGGGATGGCCGTCCGTCTGTCTACGCCTGTCCGTCTGTCTGTCTGTCCGTCCGTCTGTTACGCTTTGAGGTACCTTTCTCTTATCCACAACTCCTCTCATACCACTGAATGAAATTTCATGAGACTTTCAAAGAATCTTTGTTATATAGTGCCATTGTGCACCTTCTCTTTTACTTTTTGATCGGACACATATTTTGGGTATTACAGAGCAAAACATTCACACTGCCATTTTTTAAAATAATATTGAAGGGTACCCATCTCTTATCCGCAACTCCTCATATACCTCTGAATAAAATCTAATGAAACTTTCACAGATTCTTTATATCAAAATGTCATTGTGCACCTCCTATTTTACTTAATGATCTGACACTTACATCGGGTATCCGAGAGCAAAACAGAGACTTTGTCATTATTATCATGTGGGAGTTGGGGGGTAGGGGTATCATTTAGTGAGCTCGTTGCTCACAGTACCTCTAGTATTAATTCTGGCATCATTACTGACGGTACATTTATCACATACCTGCAATTTTGATGGATATTGATTGTAAGTCAAACACTGATGCATGTAATTAAATTGATGAACCAATGATAAAATCAGTATCGTTGAAAAAAGTCGTCATGTCGCAAATTCTATATGGTCGATATAATTACTTTCTCAGCAAAAACAACCTTTTAATAAGTGGAATGGTGTCTTGCGTTTTTCATA